CATTCCGTATTTGCCTGTCCGCTGTAGGATGAAGCCCAAACAGCTTCACATGAGACACACACACACCCTGTTACCGGCGGGTCCCGTACTCGTTTTCAGCCTCATAAGTGGCCATTCTCCTCGCCCGGCAGTGCCCACTGCAGCCGCCCCGGTCGGTTTCCGCAGATGCTCCTCAGCGCGTTTATCCCTTTCCACCTTCTCTGCCCAAGGAAGTCCTCGCCTTCTTCAAGGTCCAAGTCCAGTGCTGCCAGAAATCGTTTCCCGACTCCACCTGTGCAGAGACGATCGTCTTACGCTTTCGTTAATCCCACCGTTGAAATATTCACTGCTTTGACACTTTCTAGAGCTGTCTGTGGGTATTTACTTCTCCTCCGCTGGGCTGGGTGAGGGCCTAGGCCTTTCCTCTCGCCCAGAAGAAAAGGCTTAACAGTGAAACCGTTGAGTGAATGAATGACTCATGAATATATTAATGGCTGAGGTCATTGGAGGTTTGAGGTATGGCTACCGGAGGCTCTACTAGCTCTGTGTGACAAGGGGATGGGACAGACAGCCAGATGCGGATGTCTCGGATCAGCAGAGATTAGGAATGGGGAAGCATTTGTCGCACCCGTGTTATACTGAGCGTTCCTCCTTAAGCGGTGGAGTCTGTGGCCGAGGAGAATGAGCGTCCTGACTTTCTTAGCGCAGACCGCTTTCTCACGGGGTAGCTGTGCTGTGGGTTTTTGGCCACCGATAATACATCCAAGCTTCCCCTTCTCCCCAACAGCCCGGAAGCTGAAGAAACTCGGCAATCTGAAGCTGCAGGAGGAAGGGGAGCCTTCCAGCACCACGAGCCCCACCGAGGAGCCAACCCAGAAGCTGGCTCTGTCGCACATTGAAGGCTATGAGTGTCAGCCCATCTTCCTGAATGTCCTGGAAGCCATCGAGCCCGGCGTGGTGTGTGCTGGACATGACAACAACCAGCCCGACTCCTTCGCGGCCTTGCTCTCCAGCCTCAACGAACTGGGCGAAAGGCAGCTCGTACACGTGGTCAAGTGGGCCAAGGCCCTGCCTGGTAAGCGAAAGGGAAGCGGGGGCACGGGGTAAGGGAGGCGACAGGGCTGTCCGGGCGTTCCCTACCCATTCACTCACGCACGCTTCGCCGTCGCCGCCGCCGCCGCCGCCGCAGTGGGGGAGGGAATGGGATAATCCTCGCTTTGAACGTGAAGGGAACTCAGCCATCGAGGGGTAGAGGGGCGCTCATTCTCTGTGTGATCCCTTCCCGTTCTAATGTGTGAAGACAGGTTTGGAGTCAATCGGCGGTTTTCAGATTTTGCTTCAATGCTCTTTAAAATACCTTAGGAATCGTAGTGGGAGGAAATATTTGATAATGGTAAAAGAAATACAGAATTTTTGCTTAGCTTCTGCCAGGATAACCTCCAGTGACGGCCAGCTCACTCCTCCCCTACCCAGACCGTCTGTCGTTTGAACACGTGTGGTTACTAAAATATTAGAACCCAGAGATCCCCTACTCAAGGATTCACAAGCTTCCTTTAGCAGACAAACTTTTTATTTCTCAGACTTGTTACACTCAGGTCCAAACAGAACTGGCTGCTTCCAAGCCAGCGCCTTTCCCTCGCTCCCCCTGGAGAAGCCGCGAGTCCCTTGCAGAATCTCAGGCCTCTGGGGAGCACGGTTTGGAAACCAATAAAGCACAGGCTCTTTCAGTGTTCTCCAGATCCCCAAATCTGGTGAATCAAAGAATCTTTTGAAGCACCGGCAACCAGTGGAGTCAAAGTTTCTAGGGAACGGAGCAGTTTCACGTGTATGACCTGCTTTGAGCCTCATAAAACCCTATAAAGTAGGGTTTCTTCCCCCGTCGTAGAGATAAACGCCACCGAACCTTTGAGAAGCGGCATGCTCAGCCCGCAGGCCCACGTCAGAGGAGCAGGGCCGGCCCTCGTGGCCGGGTTCCCCCCTGATTTCAGATCCCCGCCCCATCACACTCCACCCATGGTCCGTGCAGGACTCCTGGGGCTCCGCAGCGCTGGGCTCACGGGGAAAGGCCAAGGCCTCATCCAAGGCCACTTGGATCATGATGCAAGCTAGCTGCCTCCGAGGACATTGCATAATAGTCGTCAAGCCCATTTTCTCGTTTCAACTCATAAGGCCCAGCCACAGCCACCAGCCCATCCCTAACACCTTCCCGGAGGCTGCCTCGCCAGTCACATTACTGGGAAGGAAGCCCAAGGCCTCGCCGTGTATGCACTGTGCCAAAACAGGGTTCACACGGGGAGGGAACCAGGAAAAAGCAGCAGAAAGTTGTTTGAATTCTAATCGCCCACTCAGCTGGACGTCTCGTAACAGAGATTCCGCTGCATCTTTCCAGCCGTTTGCCAAACACCTAGATTGCCCCACGGTGCAGGGTGCAGAGCCTTGTGGTCTATATCATTGCACTTAACCCTCACGACGACCCCATGAATCATACGGACTAGAATTTCCATTTCCGATGACAAGGCTCAGAACGGTTGCCTGACTTAACAAATGGAGCCAGAACGTGGCTTCACACATCCTGATTTCTAACTTGGTGGCCGAACGGTCACCCGGTGCGGATCATTTTGACAGAAATCGTACGACTGGGAGGTCGCTGGCTTTCCTCAGCCCAATGCCTTGCACGGACGAGTCTGCAGGCCAATAGCGATTCACCCAAGGAGATAACCTCTGAGCCGAAGTCACTTAAAAGAGGAGTTTCCAAAAAGCCAATTACCATGTTCATAAGAACTGCTGTTTATGTGATCTGCAATCACCTACTAGGTCAACTTATTCGCTCATTTAACAGATTGAGTTCCTGTCCTGTGCGAGGCACGACACTACGCACCCATACAGATACGTTCTGTCGTAAACCTTGTGCGATGCTGAGGATGTATGTAAATTGCCTAGTATAGCACCTTAAAGTCATAAGCTCTAAAACAACTTCCTGTTCTCTTGTTTCTATTTTTCCCTCCCCGTGTATGTTAAAATGGTAACTGTTAATCGAGGGTGGGCAAGTAGATGTGTATACACGGTATATTACAAGCAGACGTACGCGCTGCGGACGCTTAGCTGTCCGTGAGTTGCATGCACACGTGCTTCTGTTTCCTCCTTTGTGAACGCGCTAGAACAGTCTCTCCCTTGCGAATCGTTGTCAGCATCGAGCACCTAACACGGGAGGTGCCCGGTACGTGGCGGGTCGTTAGAGTGAGCCTTCAGTGCTCGGCCACCACTTCCACTGAAATCAGTTGCGGCCGCCACCAGACCCGCATCGAAGCCCCCACATGAGTGCGGACGATGGGCCGCCTTCGGGGATGCAGGCCACGCGGGCAGCGGCGCAGCGAACACTCCCTGGCTGCCCTTCGCCTCCCACACCAGAGATTCCGGTTATCAGCTCCCAGGCCCTCGCCCCAAGAGGTCCTTGGGCGTGCCACGCTTGGCCCCTGCACTTTGTCCCCTACTGGAAAGAGTCGGTCCCAGGCTTATTCAGTCCTAGGGCTTCGGGCGGGAGATCCTATGGGGTCTGAGGCTCTGGCTAGTCCGTCAGCATGTCACTAGAGCGACGACGGGAGGCACAGGCCTGGGAGCTGAGACCACAACCACGGTGGTGGCACGGGGGTTTCTACAGTCCCCGGTAGGCTTAGGGTATGCGAAAAGAAGGAAGGGGGCTGTGTGGGTGGCCGCGGACCCGCTGGGCAGGACAGTGTCTAGACAGTGCGGACTTTAGGCCTGAGCATGTGGTTGATGGCTTTGGCCATTCTCGAGCGGCGTCCTTCCGCCGTAAAGTGGGAAACACTTCTCTGGCCCTCAGGTTCCTTGTGGGTAAAATAAGTGTCCCATTGCCTACTCTCTAAGCTTCTTATTAGGGTCAGGCGAGGTCAACAGGAAGGTGAGCAGCTTCGTCTGGATTCGTGGAAGCATTCCTAGTGAGGGATAGCGAGGCACAATTGCAGCTGATTCTGTACCTGTTGGGGAGAAGAGACATGGGATGCTGGGGGGTGGGGATGAGCTCTGAGGTGATGCTCTAGAAACCTCTAGAACATAGCTGTATGCCTCCTGAGTCCGTGACATCTGGGATACTCTTCTCCGAGCTTACGGGAAATAATTTGGAAATCATCCCATTTTATAAAAGGGGAAAAAAAAAGCTGCGGGTCCTTAGTCCATTGAATTACTATTTCTCATCTCCCTACTCAGATACTTGCACTGTGCCGTGGGCTAGGGAGGAAAAGAGCATTTCACCTTATGCCGGTGCGTAATAACGCCCCGTTGCCGGGGTTGTTAGAAGGGACAAATACAGTAAGAGCTCTGCGACGTGAAAGGCGCCATTCCTATGGGAGCGATGGTCACTGCGCTGCATCCGCGGAAAGGCCGCGTGCCTTAGGGACTTGGTCTGCCAGTGACTGACTACCTTACGATCTCGGGCAAGTTCCTCAGCCTTTCCGTCGTCATCCCATTTGAGCAACTCAGTGAGGTCGGGACGCAGGGAACATCATCTCCACCACGTGCTTTGTTCTCCCCCCGATCCCCAGCACCCAGGCTTCCCGGGGCCACCCGGAGGCCAGAGGGACGCAGCCCAGCGGAGGCCCGCACACCACCCAGCGCGTCATCGCCCAGTCTGACCCCTTTCTCTTCCCTGTCCGCAGGCTTCCGCAACTTGCACGTGGATGACCAGATGGCAGTCATTCAGTACTCCTGGATGGGCCTGATGGTGTTCGCCATGGGCTGGCGGTCCTTCACCAATGTCAACTCCAGGATGCTCTACTTCGCCCCTGACCTGGTTTTCAATGAGTAAGTGCTCATGGGCCCAGAACTCACAGAAACGTAGTGTCCTGGCCACACCTGCATGGTGCTGATGATGGTGACAGCAGCGGTGAACCCATTCGACCCCTAGGTGGCTAACTGGTGGGCGGTGACAAAGGTTGAGCCCAAGCCCGATATTTGGACCTTAGATAGGCTTATTAGATAGATAAGCTTTGTCTTATCTAAGAGCCCATAATTAACGTCCCTCCCTTTCATACCGGGCGGGCACGTGGGGCCTGGGCATAGAGACGTTGTGACGGCTCAAGTTCCTGTGGTCCCTTTGCTACACCGAGGGCACCTGCCAGTCACCATTTGTTGAGCATGACTTGCACTAGACACTTTCTAAACCCTTTCTCCTTGAGCCCTCATGATAACCTGATTTCCCCTTCGAATCGTCTTTTTTAACGGATGAGGAAAATGAGCTTCAACAAAGATAAAGCGACTCGCCCAAGATCACACAGCCAGTGCATGTCGGTGACGGAATTCACAGTACGTCTGCAACTCCCAGCTCTTCTGCCGCCTCCTGGCGCTTAGTGCTGGGAGCGGCAGCTCCGCCAGTGTGTGGCCAGCTGCCTTTGGCCCAGCCGCCTCCCTGCCACCGGCTGTGTTTACCCTTCATGAATTTGGCCAAGGGTTCAGATTTTGAAATTAGACTTCTCTCCACTAAAATCTGTTCTGTTATTTCCCACGTCGTCATCTTTGGGCAAGACCCTTAATTTCCATGACCCTCAGTTTCCTCATCTGTTAATAAAATAGAACTTCCCTAAATGATTTGTTGACTAAAGTGGGAGCTAAGCACTGTGAAATGTCTGGCCCGTAACGGGCAGCAAATGAAAGAGAAGTCCCTTTCCGATCCCCTCTGTCCCTCATAGCGGTAATCTTCTCTGTATCTGCTGTCGCGGTCCCCGGATGGCATTATGAATGGAGCTGGCCAAAACATCTTCCCGAGGACCTCGAGCCAGCCTCAGCCCAGAGAATCCCTTCACTCAGGGCAGGAATTGACTTTGTCTGCCCCCTGGCCCCCTATCCAAGAAGAACCTTAAAATAAATTCTCCAGGCCAGTAGTTTCAGTGCGACAGGGCCATGCGGGGGAAAATAAGTGTCCCCAGCTGCCCTCTCCCAGCCGGCCAGCCCCGATAGCCAGGAGCTAAGAATAACCGTCAGGCTTTTGGCACAACCTGCTTTGTGGCTTCCAGATCTCCCAAGCTGCCATCTTCTGGGGCAGGCCTTAAAAACACCACTTCCTCTTCCTGTCACCCGCACCTCCGGTGATGGGGTCACCTCCCTGGGCACCTGCAGCATCCTCCCCACCCGGAGCCCCAAGACCTTTGAACGGAACAGCGAGGTCGCTTTCCGCCAGGAAGCCGGTGGCGGCCGATTCTGTAACCCTCGCTTCCTTCGCTGCCTCCCTCAGGGTCTCTAGAAACATCGCAAGCAGCGTTTCTCGACAGGGATGCTGTCGACATTTTCAGAGGAATCATTTTTCAGTGTGTAGGGACATTCCTGTTGGACTCTGTTTTGATGTCCCCGATGCCTGCCCACTGAGTGCCACGTGGGGTTCCGGTCCCCGAGACATTTGTAGCTCCCAGGAGGAGGGCAGGGCTTGCCCACTTAAAAGCAGCCAATGGATGCCAGCCTCCTCAGGGTCTCAGGCTTCTTTCCTCCTCCCGTCCCTGCGGAGAACACGTAGACCCTGGCCGCATGACCGGGTGAGCCGTCTGTTGCGTGGCGCAGGCCATCACAAGGGCACCTTCCCCCCTGCGCTCGGAGCGCCCCAGTTCCCCTCACCTCTGACCCACTCGCCTCTCCCCACCTGCCTCCGCCCCTCCGTTCCTGTCTTTCCTGCGTTTGAAGCCTCCCCGCCTTCTTCTGGCCCTTCCTCCCTGCTTCCTGTTCTTTTTCAACCTCCGAATTCGTTCCCTCGCCTTTCCCCCACTCTCTCCGTCCCTGCGGCCCACGGCGCTGTTACAGCCATCCTCCACGTCGGGACCGTGACGCCGATGGCCAAAGGACCACAGCGCTGTCACCCACAGCCCGGTCCCTTCCACTCTAGGCCGTCTCTTTCCTCACCACTTCAGTGGGTGTCGAACTCCCTTTCCTTTTTCCAAACAGAAACTATCGTTTTCTCTCCCTCTCTCCCCCCTGTTCTCCCTGCCCCCCCTGCCCCCCTGCCCCATCCCGAAAGGCAGGAAGGCCTCCGAGCAGAAGGATGCTGTACCTTCTCTCAGCAGCTTGCCCTGGCCTGTCACGGAATAGAAAGGTTGCTTTCCCCCATGAATCTGTCTGAGCCTTGGCCACTTAGCTACATAATTTCCAGGTGATAACGTGATGATCCGTTCACAAGTCACTGTAATGAAAGCAGGTCACACGTGCTTCTAACTTCCCAGCTGTGAGGCAGTCGGCTCTCCTCAGCAAGGGACATGTAGCTTGGACATAAAGAGACACTTCCTGGATGATCGGATAAGCATCAGAACTCACTTCAAAGTGACAACGGGGAAGCTCCTCCCCTGGGAGTCTTTAAAGAAATATTTAAATTTCTCATATGGAAAATGGCATTCAAGGCAACAGGCAGGGGGAAGTGGCAGTCCCTCGGGAGTGGATCTCAAAGGCCTGTCAACCAGAAGGCCTCCAGGTCGGGGTGGCTGGAAGGCAAGTTCTGGCTCCGGCTGTAGCGGGATGTTAGAGCTGCTCAGGGAGGCCGTGCGTGGGTCCCATTGTGTCCATGGGCTTAGGCCTTCCTGTCCCTTTCTCAGAGAAGAGGGGCACGGGGACCTGCATCCTGGCCAGGGGAGATGAGGCATCATCAGGATGTCAGCATTTTGGAAAAATAATAATCTTGTTCCTTGTCCCTGACGTGCCACCAAGAGAAACAGCAAGCTCTTGCCGAGCCTGTTGGGGGTGGGGGTGGTGGAGGAACCAGAGGCAGCTCAGAAGCGCCTCACGCCTCTCCCTCCTTCCGTGTGTCCCCAGGTACCGCATGCACAAGTCCCGCATGTACAGCCAGTGCGTCCGAATGAGGCACCTCTCTCAAGAGTTCGGGTGGCTGCAGATCACGCCGCAGGAGTTCCTGTGCATGAAGGCGCTGCTGCTGTTCAGCATCAGTGAGTGCGGGCTGGGCGCCCCGGGGCTCGTGGGGAGCCGCCTCTCCCCTGGGGGTCATCAGCAGGTAGAAGCGGGCTCCCGACATGCTCCCCCACCTTTCTGTCCCTCTCCTTGGCCTTCACTTTTTCCTAACGCGATGTTCATGGCTAGAGACCAGTTTCCTTGCTAAAGGCCACCTCCGTGAGGTTCCCACCCGCGTCCCAGTCTCTCGGTGGCCGGTGGCCAGTAGGGGGCAGGTCTCAGGACTTTCGAAGGCTAGTACCGTGGAAAGCGGCAGGGACCATACGTTTCCTGTAGGGCACAGGGGACTGCCTCTCGGGAGGAGCTTCCTCTCCTGCCAGCAGGAGGAAGCCGAGAAGCAGCTCAGACGGGGTCCCCTTGGCAGCCGAGGAACCGTTCTTCAATGTCCCCTGTAAGCACAGTGCTGCCTCGGCCTCCGGGCGTGAAAGGCAAGGCGGACCGTCATACTCAGAGCCATGCGTTTTGTCCAAATCGGCTGCACTGTGCAGAGCCCGAAACCACACAGAGGCCCTAAGGGATGTGTACGTGAGAAGGCGAGAGAAAGGCTCGCCAGTGTTACTTACTCGGCGCCCTTCAAATCTGGGCCGGCCAGCCTTCCCCGCAGAGACGCTTAACCGCAGGGAACCAGCTCCACCCTCCCTCCCTGTGGGCTGGGGGTCAAGGTCGTGGTCAGAAATGGTGGTGCTTTGTCTAATGCGCCTTCGCGGGCTGCCTCCCTTCCCCGTTCTGTCTTCACCCGCATCAGTTCCAGTGGATGGGCTGAAAAATCAAAAGTTCTTTGATGAACTTCGAATGAACTACATCAAGGAACTCGACCGCATCATCGCGTGCAAGAGAAAAAACCCCACATCCTGCTCGAGGCGCTTCTACCAGCTGACCAAGCTCCTGGACTCCGTGCAGCCTGTAAGCAGATGGCGCAGGGCGCTTTGTCGGGGACGGCGGGCCCGATACACCCAGACGCTAACGTGTTCTCCTAGGGTCTGGCACCACCTGTTGGGTGCTGCGCCCCTTCCCAGCTGGCTCTGAGTGTGGTCCAGGAAGAAAACGCAGTGGAGAAGAGAGGAGCACAGGTCACAGTGTCCCAGCTGGACACTGAAAAAGAGGTGGAGGAGTTGAGAGCACAGCAGTCGAGACTCAGGGCAGGGGCGCAGAGCAGATAGTTCTCCAGGCAGACAAAACACACGTGGATGTTTGTCCCCTCTCCCCGAGTCATGTGCGCGTGTTTGCATAAGGAGGGGAGAGACCGAGGGAGAGACAGAGTGAGGCCCCCCACCCTGGGGAAGGGGACAGTACAGGTCCTGAGTCACAGCCCACGATGGCGCAGAGCCGTCGGGAACTCCCTGGGGACCATCAGGTGCGCGTGCGCGCGCGCACACACACACGCGCGTGCACACACGTATACGGTGAGAGGACCGAGGCCAGGGAAGAGGGAGGAAATCAAAGGCAGGTGGACAGCCCGGAAGCCAGCCCCTCAGCAGCCCCGGTTCCCATTCCCTGCCACCTGTCGCCCCCTACAGATCGCACGAGAGCTGCACCAGTTCACCTTTGACCTGCTGATCAAGTCCCACATGGTGAGCGTGGACTTTCCGGAAATGATGGCAGAGATCATCTCTGTGCAAGTGCCCAAGATCCTGTCCGGCAAGGTCAAGCCCATCTATTTCCACACGCAGTGAAGCCTCAGAAGCCGCCCTAGCCCCCTTCTCGGCTCCCTCCTGCCTGTCCCAACTCTGCAGTGCCTTGGGGAATTCCCTCTACTGACGATGTGCCCGCGTCCTCGTCCCCCACTCTGGGCTCTCTGCTCTCCTCCCTTCTCCCCGCCCCTCCCCCGCCCTGCCACTTTCAGGCTCTGCTCCCTGCCATGGCCCTCATCTGTGTTTTGAATGGTGTTGTATTTCTTTAAATCTGTGATGATCCCCATGTGGCCCGGTGTCAAGTTGTGCTTGTTTATAGCACTGCGCTGTGTGCCAGCCACACAAACGTTTACTTACCTATTGCCACGGGAAGTTTAGACAACTAAGAGTATCTAGGAAAGCAAAAAGAAAAAAAAAAAACCCAAACCAAACCCCCTTGCTAGGATATTCTTCCTCTTAAGAAAAGCAAAACCGAGTCCCCAGAGAGGCTAACAGTGACTGGAATAAGGTGACCGCGACAAGCCCACGGGGGAGTCGCTGCTTTTCCCCCAGCCCTCCGTATTTGGGAGGCTTTCCTTTCTGCCACTGGCTATTGCCGTTACAGGGCAGGGTGACCCAAGAGCTGAGTTGGTGGCGGAGACAGATTTAAGATAGGACAAAGAGAACATAAATCAACAGTAGCTGCCCACAGCCTTGGCCCCTGAGGGCTAGACCGTGCCACTGCAGTGCAACCCAATTCAAAACGTGCTTCTTTGAGAACTTGCGTGCATGTGACCGCCTCCCCCTCCGACCCGCCTCCTCTCTGCCTTCTGCCCCCTCCCTGGACTGACTTTCAGCAGCTTTTCTAAGAACTTTGAACTGAGCGTTCCCTTTAGCCAAAGCTTGGCCACTTCCACTGAAGAGTCGGACCTCAAGCAGGAGAGGAGAGTCCCCACCCTCTTGATCCAGCTGCTTTCCCATCGTGGACCAGGGCGGGGCGTGGGGCTGGAGTTGGAGGGGAAGGCCACAGTGGCTCGGCCGGCCTGCTTAGGACACCGAGAAACTGGTCTTCCCCTGCCCCCTCCGCCCGCCTCCTCACGTTTGGTGGGTAGGGGCTCAGCCAGATGGTGGCGAAGCTTGACCCCCGCTCTGGGCGCGTTGGCAGGCCCTCTGCCGACGGCCCCAGCCCCTCCAAGAAGGCTAGCGAGCCAGCAAATTCAACATCTTTGTCTAGCTGCCACTGGGCTCAGAGACCTCTCGCCAAATGTCTCTCATCAACCCCCAGATCTCTGGAGCCCTCAGGCAAATGAAGGAAGGCATTGACGACATTGGACAAGTCAGGCGTCTTGCCCTTGCCCCCCAGAGGTGGTCCACCAACTGGGGACATGCCAGCTTCTTCCTTCAGAGCAGCTAACGGGGCTGCCTGGGCTGCGGTTGAGGAGAAAACTCAGTTACCAGGGTGGGAAGAAATGCGGGCGCTAGAGCCACCCAGCCCTTCCACCTGCAGCGTCACAGGCAGAAGAGACAAACCAAGAGGAGACCGCCCACTGCATTAAAGTCTTCAGAGGCAAAGTGCGAGGCCAGGTGGGCGCCGTCTGGTGGCCACACTCGCACACCCTACCTCTGTGGCCGCCCCTCGGCCTGAGGGAAGCCGAGACACACTACAGAACCGTGGCCTCTGCAAAGGTCTGGCTGCTGTGGCTCCAGTGGGCTCCCCCCAACCCCACGGACTCGGGGTGTGTTCCTGGGACAGCGGTGTCATGGAGTCCTTGGGCACAGCTCCGTTTCGTTGACTCTGTCCCCAACCCCAAATGCAGGGGGAACGTCCACCTACTTTCTCGTCTTGGCCCCTGCCTCCTTCCTTAGCCTTTCAATTCATCATCTAAACTCAAGAAATCAGGAGCCAGTCACCAAATTGCCCATTTCTGTGGGTCCACTTGTTGGGAAGACAGTTTCTGAGTGACGTGACGCGATCCGCATGGGTTTCCTGCCCCGACTTCTGTGTTGATATTAATAGCCAAATGAAGTTGCAAAACAGCTTCTTTAAATAACAAGGGAGAGAGGAACCTAAGGTTGGGCGATGCACCAGCCCAGGACTGCTGGAGGAAACTGAAGCCCGCGGGTCCTCCTGCTGGGGTAAGCGAGCCCAAGTCTGCTTTTCTTTGTCATGACACTATTCGGCTCATATAAGCTCACAGGATCACTTTTAGCTGTTTTAAACAAAACAAAAAACCGCCACTCTTTTCAGTGACACTAGGTTACATTTCACTAGCTCCTTTACATCTCCTTTGAAATGATTTTCATCCTTTGTGGTTCACGTCGTTCGTCTTTATGGATTTTCCAAAGGTGACTTTTGTCTTTATGAATATATATGTTTTTCATTTGTGAAAGCCAAAAATCTGTAATTAAAAGCGCCAACAACCAGATTACTCCGAATTTCCGAATGGCAAGAAACAGCCTGAATGAGGCTTAAGGCCAAACTGGTCTGCAACGGGGAGTCGATGAGCAAAAGACGTTTCGCTCGCCTTTGTCCTCCCAGAGGTAAAAGGGGGATTTGTTTTTTCTTTTGGCCACTGATGTTCCAGCCCGTGTCACTGGCAGAAGTCTCATTTTGCATGCACCCTGCTCCATAGAGTTGACGTGATTGCTACGCTGCGGCCACCCGTGAACGATTGGCCACCCGGGTGGGCTGGAAGAGGAGGCACACACACAGACAAGTCACGGGGACTGTCCCCAAACAGGTTGGCAGTGTCCGACGGAGTCAGAGAGTGAGGAAGAGAAAAAGGAGCAGCGTAGAGAAGGCCCGATCGCCAGCTGTGGCCCAAGAGCAGGGCCGGCAGTGTGAGCTCTTCTCACTCGTGGGGCGGGGCGGCTCCAGCTGGCCCCCGCCCGGCCTCCGAGCCCACCTGGACACTGGGTTCTTTGATCTACGGCTTTTCTGTGCCACAGACGGTATCACAGCCCTTGGAGAGTTCTTTTTTTTTTTTTTATAATAAGAAAGGGGTGCTTTGAAGGACTCTGTCATATCTTTGAAAAGCAGTGGTACATATATATTTTTTATATATGTTCACTGGCGCTAAAAAAAAATAGCTTCGTTCTGTCCCTCTCTCCTTTGGGTAGTTGCTGAGGGCTGAGAAATAATGTGCTGAGACTCGAGTCCCTCGCCGTCTATAGTTTATCTCTAGACGCATAGCTACATACATAGCAAGGGGAATGGTGTCTGTATGAGAAAGCACATCCACCGTCACGATAGCGACGTTACTCAGATGGCCTAACTTGAGCATCAGGTAGCTTGTTTGTTAGATTCATTAAGGCACAGCCCAGACACAGCCTTGCTCTCCTTTCTCCCTTGATAGTTGGCAGGGAGCAAAAGCCCGAGCCGCTCCCTCTACCCCTCCCCGACCCTGCGCCGGGGTCGCCCTTCATGACACTCTCTGGACAACTCAGTAATGGTCCCTGCATTGTCCCTGGAAAACAGGACGCCGACTACTCATTATTCTGTGCCAGTCGCCCAGATGAGAGGGCCCTGAGCCAAGGGAGTGGCCTTCATGCCCGACCCCCCGTAGGGAGTCATGGGAATCAGGAATGCTAAAGCACAGGATCAAGTCCCAAAGTTACTCAAAACAAGCCATTTAGCATGTGCAATTTCTTGTTAAAGGAAATTTCTACCCCCGCTGCCTTTTACAGGCAGTTCTATTCTCATCAGTAATCTCTTTGAAAAATCTTTGAAAGATGTTTAAAAAGACAAAGAGATAGAGCATCGCATCATGTAACCAAAGATTACACTGTATCTGCTAAGATACCAAATGTTTTAAGGGCAGGGAGGGACTGAACTGTAGTGCCTCTTTGGTGAGTTATCCAAAGACAAAAGGACTTTCCCTGCTGACGGACTGAGCAGTTCTGTTTAGAAACACGCTTAGAAGAGTGGACTTGTGAAGAAAGGTGGGATTATGGGTCCTTCACTAACTGATTTTTGTACGCAGAACCAGCATCCCTTTTCTGAGTAGGTGAGCAAATTTTCAAAGCTCCATCATCGCATGGTTGGATATGGAGCTGTCTCGGCCACTGCTTGCTAGTGCCCATGGCGGCTTAGCTGAGGATGTGAAGCCCTCGCTGACAAAGGGAGCGTTTGAAGGAGATTTTGCACTAGAGGGACAGCAGGCAGAAACCCTCATTTCTGCCCACTTTGGAAGGCACAGAAAGTTCTCTGCGGTTCAAGGCAGAAAGCTGAAATATATTGTAAATGAGTATTTGTGTCCATGTTCAAAATTTAATTATGTATCTATCTAGATACCTGGGTAGATAGATCGGTATGATGTGTGTTGATAGCTTTGCCTTTCTCTGCAACTTTACATTTGGTTCCAGGTCATAACTGACATCATGTACTTGTGCCAGGCCACAGTTACGTGCTGGAAGCTCTCTCAGAACGTAAGACGCCTGCTTGAGCAGGCCACTAGGAGCTCACAGCCCCTGCAAAGGAGCAGAGGGAGGGAGGCTGAAGAGTACATGATGTATTGCACTTTACTAGCCCGAGACTGATGAATGTTTGGAAGGTGGTGAGAACTCATTGGTCCCGACTAGGATTTTCTGTAGCAAAGGCCCAGCCCGACGACCAGCCAGCGGCCCCCTGACGGGGCCGGAGCAGCGGGACGAGGGAAGGACACGCTGTTCTTCGCCACTCCTGTGAGGGACGGGCAGTTTCCTGTGCTTGGGAACCGGGAGCCAGCGCTCCATCCTTCACGTAACTAGCTCACCTGCGACCGAGGTGCTCTTGCTACTGGGCGCCTGTGCGCTTCAAGTCTGGTTTTGGATATGCTCTGTAAAGATTTCGACAATGGAAATGTGTTTTTCTCTGTTCTAAATTTGTCAACGTACTAGAAGTAGCATCTGTGTAGGTACAGGTCCATCTCTGCCCACGGGTAGGGGTGTTTTTCTTCAATTAAGACATTGATCGACACTGGGGTCTGTTGCCCAGAGCCTCCCAACTCTCAACCATTTCTAGGTGAAAGCAGAAAAATTATCCGTATTCGCCGCCACCCCAGACACTTCAACTGAGGCACCAAAACATTTGGAACA